CATGGATGTAGCCTGCCTTTCCATGTGGCGTGTAGCTAGACATGTGGTGACTGGAGTGTACACAATGACGTAAGGGTAGCATAGCTTGTATACATTAGAAATCCAGCCCATACAAGTGTTCCCGTAAGCTGAGTGCTTGAGTGACCACCCAGGAGAGATTCAAATCCCCTCCCCCCCCAGCTGATTAGCATAGCACCCACACTATCAGCATGTGTTTCCACTGCCTCGATGCACATAAAATTTATTCTGCACATGGATAGAAAAACTAGAACATTGGCCCACACTACTTCATTTAACCATTACGTTGTGAAAGACTACTTATAATTCCTACCCTCAAGACCTCTGTCCCTCTGGATAACCACACTTGATGGCTATAAGAGTAAAACATATTTTAGTTTCATAATTTGATTTTGTATTAGAAAAAAAATCAACATTTGCTACAAAATAGTTTAGCTGACAAACCACGTATGAAGGAATGCTCCTGAGATGCAGCCTGCCCTATATAATTGGGTCTTTGTTTATATAGCCCTTTCTAAAAAAAGCACCCCATTTGTTTTAGCAGAGTTGGATTCACATGTGGCTGTCACACATAATAAATGTGAGTATGATTCCATGAGTTTGTTCTTGCACCTAGAATAGACTTTTGCCAGCAGTTTTCCTATTTTTTTAATTAACGCTTGATGTTTGCATTTTTGCGATGAAATTTTGCCCTTTTTACTATTTTTCTGCTATAATCAACAGCTGCCATGAAATGTCATAGTTCACTAGTTAATTGCAAACTACTAACATCAGCTTTCTGAAATTAGTGCAATGGTTTTGTATTTTTGAAAAACAGCACTAAATAGTATGAATGCTTCTGTATTCTGAAGTTACAGTCTTTGTTCCTTTCAAAAAGTACTTTCTGTCTTGACATGTAGGATAAGAATAGTCTGTAAAAACAATCTGTAGTTGTTGTCACCAGCTGGTAGATGGTACGAATCATAAAAAACTGAATTACACCCCCCCCCCTCCCAAATCAAGATGTTAAATTCCTCGCCTGGGAAATAACTTCTATCCTACTGTTACAGGCACATTGCTCTGGGTTTGGAAGCTTTCTGCTCAAATTGAAAATATGCAGATTAAAAACAAACACCCTTGCCCCCAAGTCCCTTCAATTCTATCACCTTTCTTTTGTCTGATTAGATTTTCTGTGAAACTGCACACCAGTGTGGCACACTACCTATGCCTCTGCTCAGCTGAGCTTTCTAAAGATTCACTATCATTTATTCTGGTCAGGATCACAGACAGGGGAAACGTGTATATTAACATTCCAATCTTTTTGTTAGTTATAGCTCTTTGACTGCTGAACAGAAGCAGTTAGCAATTATCTTTTGTTAAACAGTGAATTCAGATGGACCTGACATTCTGGCCACAGTAATCTGACATTGCCAAATCATCATTTCAAGAATCCTATTGATTTCAGAGGCAACCAGACCAGACTCCAAAGGTTCATGGTCTCCATAAGGCCCTCAAAGCTTCTTCCATGTATATCCTAATAGTAAATCTAATGCAGTCAATGAGCAAACTAAGGTTTAATGTTCAAGCTCTTTATAAAATGTGATCCTCCCTCTTGATGGCTCACACCATGACCTTCTCCATCAGCTGACCTTCCCATCTCCTTTGCTGGCCACCAATTACATCAGCAAGGAGATGATCTGTCTTATATTCAAAGAGGGTCACTCAGGTGTATCATGGTGCTAAACATCAGTGGGGAAAAGGACTCTTCAAAACAAAGACTAACAAGCCTCGCTCACAAATATTTCAAATTAGATTTAAACCAATAAACAGGGTGAGCTACATTCATATCCTTTTTGCCTGCGACCTAAAGAGGGGCAAAATACACAATCTTAAGAAAATGTATACCCAGGAAGTGAGGAACACAGTAAGAACCCATTGTTAGGATATGATAATGTGCTCTGTGTCTGTTCCTTTCAACAGGGCAGTGGGCAGGGCCCTGAACACTAGTAAGACCAAGAAAAGGGAGAAAGAGACTTTCAAAGGCAGTGACAAATGGACCTTTGAATGCATTTCTGGGTAGAGTGAAACCTATGGACACAGTTAATGGCTGAGTCTGTAAGAATCTTGCGACTGACTAACATATTGATTCTCTACTCTCCAATGAGTTTGCAGCCTAACTGGACAATGAACAGATTGGCAAAGTAGGGATGGAATAAAACAAAATAGATGACTGAGCAGGTGGCAATGACAGGCACAAAATGGCTTCGTCTAGACTGGCATGATTCTCCACAAATACTTTTAACAGAAAAGTTTTTGCCAGTCTAGACGCAGCCAATGTGTTTATTTTGTAATGCCCCCCATTGCTACATTAAGAGGGCAGAGGGTACTTGGCTTTAGTACAAGTGGAAGAGAGTATTTTTTTAAACTAAAATTAAACACCCAAAAATACACCAGATGCCTGATTCTGTACAAGGGATATTAGATATTGTGTAATTGAACAGTTGTGTAACTGCACAAAATATTATTGATTACACGACTATTCGCTAGTCCCCAAGGGCGGGGCTGGCAGCCTGCGTACTCCTGACCCCGTTCCCAGGGAATCCTCTGCCACTCTAGGCTGCTGCCTGTCTATCAGAAGCAGTAGTGGAGGGAAGAGGGGGGAAGGGGCAGGCGGATCTGGTGCTCATGTACTTGGTTAATTATGTGCTCGACTACACATTGACATCTCTACTCTGTACCAAGTAAATGAGACGTTATGACAAGAGACTAGAGCAGGGGTGGGCAATAAGTTTTGATGGGGACCACTCCAAGAACTTGGTAAGTGGTGAAGGGTTTGCCATGGAGCAGCACAGGAGTAGCTGCTAATGTTTCTGTTTATCAGTCTGAAGAATTTATCAACAGGCCAGAGAAAAATCAACTGTCTTGATGAATTTTACCTGAAATAAGGATCAGAGTGAGGAATATACTTTGAAATAATTTCTCTTGAGATATTAGGCTTAATGAGTGTGTTTTGTTTATTTTGGCTTAGTAACTTACTTTGATCTGTCTGTTTTCACTTGCAGTCACTTAAATTCTACTTTTTATACTTATTAAAACATTTTTAATTATCAAACCTAGTGTAAAAAATTATTACAGGAAGGGGGCAGGGAAGGAACAGCTGTGCATATTTCTCTTTCATTGATAAAGGAAGTGACTCTGATGAACTTTCTCTGTGTAAAACTTTTATACAGAGTAAAACTGATTTGGTGGGGTTGGTCCCTGTTGAGGGTTGTGTTCCTGGATACTGCGTAGGACCTATAGCTGAGTTCTTCCAGAGCTGAGCTGGTTCAGTATCTGTGTTGCTCTGCTGGGGGGGCTGTTACCCCAACTCTGTGCCTTGCATGGGGGAGACGAGAGCTTCTGACCCAGCAGGACAGGGTGGTGGGGAGACCCAGAAGGCATGTAGGTGGGCTCAGTGGTATGATCAGCACATGGGGTGACAACCCCAAAGGACATCTCTGACTGAACCCATCACACAAATATTATTTTACCAACTACAATCTGTTAACATAGTAGAGGGGTTCCCAAACCCTTGCTCATGAACCTTTTGCAGTTCTTTTACAGGTAAAGTGCAGCTTGTGAGCCCCCTACGTCCATTTGCCATCTACCAAACTAAGGCAGAGGGAGCTCAGGGCTTCTGCCTTGAGGCAGGGTGGTGGAGCTAAGGGCCTCTGCCCTATAGGAAGAGGAGATCTCAGATGGAAGCAACATCACAGGCATCGCCACTGGCCCTTTCCTCAGGTGAGTCCATTCTGGGTGTAGAAACCCAAGCTGGAACTGAAAGATGTAATTTACTTCCTAATGCCAGCAAGAATGGGTGACTGGGGATCCCTGGGACATGTATGATTCGGATCTTCTTTCTGCCCTCCTTTAAGGTGGTCTGTGAATGAGGGGAGGGTGCACAGAATTTCAAGGCAGTTTAGTACATCAATCGATTAAACACACATTTGTTTTGCTCTTGCAGCTCTATGAAGTGCTGATTATTTATTCTTTTTACTTGAACAAGAGTCATGCTTTGTGTTGACAAACATGCTATGCTATGAGGGTCAGATTCTCAGCAGGCATAAAAAGATGTGGTTCTCCTGAAATTAGTGGCCCTATGCCATTGATACCAGTTGAGGATCTGCGCAGGAGGGAGTTTTATGTGTCACAACAAGGTGTTTATGACAGACTTAATCTGCTGTCCTGGCTGCAGAGAAATACACTCTGGCTATGTCTACACAACAGGCTTCTTACGCAAGAAGCTTTTTTTCAGAAGAGCTCTTATGCAAGAGAGCATCCACACTGCAAAAGCGCATTGAAAAAGTGATGTGGTTTTGTGAAAGAGAGCGTACAGACTTCTCGAAAGCGCAAAAATGCACTTGCACACAAAAAACCCCTGTTCCCCATCCACACACACCTTTTTGCACAACAGCTATTGCGCAAAAAGGAGTTATTCCTCGTAGAAAGAGGAATACCTACACCGGAAAAACCCCTCTGTTTTTTCGTTTTACTTGCATAAAAATGCACTTGAGGTGTGGATACGTCGTGAGTTTTTGAACAAAAACTCTGTAGTGTAAACCTAAGCCTCAGATTGTTTAAATAAAAGCTTTTAATAGGAGAAAATACAGTGGTTTGTGGTGCTGCATGGTATTCTAGGTGTATCTGCCCTTTTAAGCTTTAAAATTGTTTTGCAAAAGACAGAGATTTGGCTGCAGTTGTATATTGCAGGCTGCTCCATTGAGCGTTGAAAGTAACAGTGTGTTTTACACAGACTCTTTGAAATTGTCAGTGCCAGCTTGTGCACAGGAGAAAATAAATTAAGCAAAAGAAAGATCAGATCAGATCAGAATATGAGCTTTGTGGGAAACTGGCAGGAACTGAACAGTTTATAAATGGCCTTTGTTTGAATCACTCACCCTGAAATACCATTCATCTAATGGAAGAGGAGAACAATAGCTTAATTCAAAAGTTAAGCAATTTACCTTGCATAAAGGTGTCTTCTTTTCATAATATGCAATCATGGGCTCAGTGGCTTGATAGTATGATTCAATTAGCTTCGTGACAGTTTCGGCATCCTCAATGCACTGACTCCTCTTCAAAAAGCGACTGCTCATGGTCTCAGAGGAGCAGTCCATAAAGAGCACAAGTTTTGGCTCCCCAATCTATAGAATTGGAGAAACAATAACCAGTTCAAATGCTGAGCTGGAAAAATCTGGCTTTGTTCATTAACCCTGTTTTTTTCTTCTTCTTCAGATAACTGTAAAACACAAGCTAGCTGGTTAGTCATATAATTAAAGCAAGCCCAACTCTCTGCAGCAAACAAGTGAGTTAATGCATTTAGTCCCTTTTCTATTTGTGATTTGTCAGAAGCAGATTATTGTTAATAAATAGTCATGTTATGCAGCAGTACGGAGAGGCCTCAACCAGGAGAAGGGCCCTACTGTGCTAGGTAAACACATTCAAAGATACAGTACCTTACAAGCATAAAACCAGACTATGGCTTTGAGAATTTGTTTGCTATCTGCAGTTATCCGACAAATGTTTTAGGCAAACAAACTCCAGCTTCTGGAGTGCCCATTAGACATATTCAGGCTTTGCTGTTCAAGCTGTGTGACTAATCACCTGGTAAGGTTTTTAACTCCATGACTGGATGAATATACTGTGGATAGTTTCATGTGTAGCCACATGGTTTCACATGAACATGTGTAATTGCCGGTAGGTAAAAGCAACTATACACAAATGCATGTAATCTTGTGTCTGAAAGCCCCCAACTGTTTATGTAAACAAAACCCTGACTATCTGAATAGCGGTTACACAGTAAATGAAGGGGTTTTGGAATGCCATCCAATGTAATTCACTGTATTTCCTCACACAAATGTTCATAGGTATTTCATCACAATATTTGCCTAGATCTACTTGAAATGTAACTCTCCATCCTTATGGCCCCAGTATGAACAGAGAAATGTATTCTATCACTTTGATTTATGCAGTGATACATGGGTTAGAAACAATTCAAGAAGAAACCTTGCATTGCGTGCTTCTCAAACTGAGAGGCTCCCTTCCTTGGGGAGGCTCTGACCTTTTCCAAGGGAGACTCAAGTAAATCAAGGGAAAATGAAACAGTTTTCTTTCTTTCTTTTGACATGACAAAGACACAGTCCACTTCTGAGCTGAATTGAAGATTACATTATACGCATTTACTCAAGCCCGCTGACAGGAGAGATGAGAGATGATCCAGCAATTCAAAGGGTCCCGGGACTTCCTGTTACCTCTTTGGGAGTGGTATACTGCAGAGTCCTGCATCGCACAATTTATGCGGCTCTAAGGGTGGGGTGGGGGCATAGTGAGCTCCAGATGGCGCAGAGGGCTTACTGCCTGATCCCACCCTTTCCACCTCAGGCTCTTCCCCTTCAGGAAAGCCTGGGGCCGGGGCCTCTTCCTCCCTTGCCCAGGGGCCTGCAAAGGCTGTCAGCTCCCCTGCATTTACTTATTCTCATCTGAAAAAGAACCTGAAAAAATAAGGGGGGAAAACCCTGGATAGGTTGCACTGTTCCCATGTTACAAAACACTGGACAGTCCCTACGCAAAAGAATAAATGGACACAAATCAGATATCAGGAATGGTAACATACAAAAACCTGTAGGAGAACACTTCAATCTCTCTGGACACACAGTAGCAGATTTAAAGGTAGCCATTCTGCAACAAAAAAACTTCAGGAACAGACTTCAAAGAGAAACTGCAGAGCTAACGTTCACCTGTAAATTTGACACCAAGGCTGTGTCTACACTGGCCACTTATTCCGGAAAAGCAGTCGCTTTTCTGGAATAACTTACCAGCTGTCTACACTGGCCGCTTGCTTTTCCAGAAAAGCAATGATGATCAAATGTAAAATTGTCATTGTTTTTCCGGAAAAACTATGCTGCTCCCGTTCGGGCAAAAGTCCTTTTCCGGAAAAACTGTTCCGGAAAAGGGCCAGTGTAGACAGCACAGAAGTCTTTTCCGCAAAAAAGCCCCGATTGCGAAAATGACGATTGGGGCTTTTTTGCGGAAAAGCGCGTCTAGATTGGCCCTGGACGCTTTTCCGGAAAAAGTGCTTTTCCGGAAAAGCATCCTGCCAATGTAGACGCACTTTTTCCGGAAATACTTATAATGGAAAACTGTTCCGTTTTAAGCATTTCCAGAAAAGAGTGCCAGTGTAGATGTAGCCTATCAGTTTAGGATTAAACAAAGACTGTGAATGGCTAGCCAATTACAAAGCAGTTTTTCTTGGTGTTCACATCTCCACATTAGCTGCTAGTAGTGGGCCTCATCCTCCCTGACTGAATTGACCTCATTATCACTAGCCTTACTCTTGATTGGTACTCTTTTCTTATGCCTGTATATTTATACCTGCCCCTGGAATTTCCACTTCATGCATCTGATGAAGCGGGTCTTTGCCCATGAAAGTTTATGTTCCAATAAATCTGTTAGTCTATAAAATGCCACAGGACGCCTTGTTTTGCAGATCCAGATTAACATGGCTACCCCTCTGATACAAAATATCTTGTGTGTGTGTCAGATATTCTCACACAAATTTGGAGGCTGATTCCCAGTAGTTAATGTTAAAGGATAGTTGTGGATGTCTCTTTTCACATTGGGTTAAGAAGGCTTTTCATGTTGGGTTAAGTGAACTCTTTTGCAGCCCAGTCTGCCAAAATTGTCCTTTGATACTGAGTTTTGTTTGAACAAGAACCGTAAGACTGAGTCTAGTATGTAACAAACTACATCATAAAATCATAGAAATGCTGAACAGAAAGGGACCTGAAGGGGTCATGTCCAGCCTGATGCACTGAGGCAGGATCAAGTAAATGTAGACCAGTAGTTCTCAAACCTCAGTACTGGTGACCCCTTTCGCATAGCAAGCTTCTGAGTGTGACGCCCTTACAAATTAAAAAACACTTTCTATACATTTAACACTGTTATAAATGTTGCAGGCAACAGAGGGTTTGTGGGTGGAGGTTGACAGCTCACAATCCCCATGTATTAATCTTGTGACACCCTGTTTGAGAACCCCTGACCTAGACCATTTCTGACAGGGGTTTGTCCAACCTGTTTTAAAAACCTCTAGTAATAGAGATTCCATAACCTCCCTAGGAACCCTACTTCAGAACTTAACTAACCTTGTATTTGGAAAGCTTTTCTTAATATCTAACTTAAATCTCTTGAACTAAAGAATAATCCCGTTACTCCTTATCTTACCTTTATTGATCACTGTCCTTTTTATAATGTCCCTTCACATATTTTAAAGCTGTTTTGGGTCACACCTCAATCTTTTTCTTGCTTCAAACTAAACATTTTTAAAACATTTTCTGAATAGGTCAGATTTTCTAAACCTCTTACGATTTATGTTGCTTTCCTCTGGACAAAGTGTGTGCCCAATACCAGACACAATACAGGCAGTCCCCGACTTATGTCGGATCCGCAGTTACGAACGGGGCTGCCCCAGAGTACACGGACTGCGGGACCTCGCGGTCCTGCCGCCCGTGTACTCTGGGGCTTTGCTCTGCGTCTCCCTGGTCTGCAGACCAGGAAGACGCAGAGCAAAGCCGCGGAGGGGCTCAGGCAGCCGGGCAGCCCAGGCACGCCTGGGCTGTCCCGCCGCCGGCTTCCCCCGCAGCTTTGCAAAGCCACGGAGGGGCTGGGGCTCCGGGGCAGCCCAGGCGCGCCTGGGCTGTCCTGTCCTCTCCAGCAGACCAGGGAGATGGGGAGCAAAGCCTCGGAGCACGCCAGCAGTGGGACAGCGTGGCGCGCCTGGACTGTCCCGCTGCCCGCGTGCTCTGCGGCTTTGCTCCGCGTCTCCCAGGTCAGCAGACCAGAGAGATGGAGCAAAGCCGTGGAGGACTTGGGCGGTCCCGCCACCCCCGTATCCCTGGTCTGCTGGGGGAGGGGTGCAGCTAGTGCCCCCCCCAGCAGACCAGGCTTTTCTTGCCTACCCCTGGGGTAGAGCAGCTGGGGGCTGCCGGGTTGGTCCCGCAGCGCCACTCCGAACCAACCCGGCAGCACCCCAGCTGCTCTGCCCCAGGCGTCCTGATTCAGCCGCTGCCGGGCTGTTTCAGACGCGG